GAGATCTCTCGCGGAGAAAATAATCATTTTTACAATAAGCCATGACTCAGACTCAATTTATAATCTCAGGAGCATCATAGTATTAAAGTCATACATTAGTAATCTTAAAATCACATCCAAGGTTAAGCAGCTTGAGGAAATTCTTCTACCTTTTCTTCTACCCCATAGGTTTTTTATTTTGTTTTCCATTTTTCAAACTGGTAAACAGATTTAACTTCTTTGTACTTACATGCAAAAATAAGTGGAAATGTGTGGGAGTGCATGTATATAATGTTTGTATCTTTGACTCCTGAGCATACATGTGGCATTGATTGAAATAAAAATCAAATCTCTGCAATTTTCTTAAAAAATAAATTCATGAGTGTGTAATAAATATGGGATCAGAAACAAAGTATTAAAATATATTGTTTATTTTTTTTTTAATTTTTTTTTCAACATTTATTTATTTATTTTTGGGACAGAGAGAGACAGAGCATGAACGGGGGAGGGGCAGAGAGAGAGGGAGACACAGAATCGGAAACAGGCTCCAGGCTCTGAGCCATCAGCGCAGAGCCTGACGCGGGGCTCGAACTCACGGACCGCGAGATCGTGACCTGGCGGAAGTCGGACGCTTAACCGACTGCGCCACCCAGGCGCGCCCTAAAATATATTGTTTAAAACCAGGTTGTCTATGTTGACCAAGGTTCAAAGAAGAAATAGTTTCTCTACACTGAAAGATGTTTTCCTTTATATGTTCAGTACCAGTAGGTCCTGTTAATTTAAGCTTTGTATCAGGTTAAGAAGTATCCAGTAATCAAGAATTAGGCCTCAAGCTTGAAATGGAGATGGTGGAAAAAAAGTAACTTAATATAATCAAGATCATCTTTAAAGGAAAGGAAGATAAAAGAAGGACACTGTAAAAGACTTTCTCAAACATGTAACTGGAAGTGTGGAGATGACAATCAGTGATGAAAAGTTTGTTCATTAAATAATTTATATCTAGGGGCGCCTGGGTGGCGCAGTCGGTTAAGCGTCCGACTTCAGCCAGGTCACGATCTCGCGGTCCGTGAGTTCGAGCCCCGCGTCAGGCTCTGCGCTGATGGCTCAGAGCCTGGAGCCTGTTTCCGATTCTGTGTCTCCCTCTCTCTCTGCCCCTCCCCCGTTCATGCTCTGTCTCTCTCTGTCCCAAAAATAAAATAAAAAACGTTGAAAAAAAATAATTTATATCTATAAAGTAGTATATATAAGGGGAAAAACTCAATAAACTTAGTATATAATAAGAAAGTTATCAATGTGCATTGTCATTACTGATAAAAGAGAAAGATTAAAAAACAATTACAACATGCTGTGCATATCAGGAGGTTTAATTTATATCCATTCTAGGGTAATTAGCTCATAGTTTGCTAAGGACATGTCAATTGTTTTGTACTGCAATAAAAAATCCATTTAAAATTAATGGTGAAGAAAGTAAAAACGAGAATCTAAACCCTGCAGAAAATGCTCTATGGAATATTTAGCACCTTTATACAGGAAGATCACACAAATTCTAAGATTGATAGAATCCTAAGGTGTTATAATTCTTTCTGTTTTTTTAAATGGAACTTTTTCCTTCAAGATGGATATTTGACTATATTATTTTAAACTCTGTCTAAGTAGAAAGACTCCAAGAGGTTTTGGTGTAATCAATTTTAGCCTAAAAAGATTAGAAAGTCTCTATATTTGATTTATGTTTTATCTTTAAATTTATTTTAGAAAAAAAAAAAAGATAATTTTTTCTTTGAAGTAGATTAGTCCCATAGTATTCAATGTGTTATAATCCTCATTTTTTTTGATCTGGTCTGAATAGAAATACAAATCACCAGTGAATATGTGTCTTCAAGATGTACTTTCTCCAGGGTCCAAACAATATAAATTTCCAATATATATTACATTCAAGTGATATTAATATTTTTTCAATATATAAAAATTAATTCATCTTTATCACCACTGAGGAGTCAAATTATTTGCAATTAAAAGACATTTTACCTAGGAGCAAATATCTGGTTTTTAATATAGTCAAGAGGTTAAAAAGTGACAAAAAAAAGTTCAGAGTGAGAGAATAAAGTCATTATATTTTTGTGGATGTTTATCAGTCATATTTTGGCAAAGACAGGAGGGAGAAACATATATAATTCAATGTCTTCAGACCATTCCTAGAACAGTTTTTTTTCAATAATTTGTCAGTATTCATAAATAATTTCCCACATATTATTAGGTTTTGGCCACATTTCTTCATTTATGTTTTCCTTTATTTGACAAATCTTTATTGAGTTAATTCAGGACACTGGGGACTATGAGATGGATATGGTTTTCTAGTCCAGACAAAAATTATGAAGCTCATTGTCTTGAATGAGATAGGCAAAGACCTTTAAGAATCATTTAATTTAGCTTTTGAATAAGTATACTTATGTAAAGCAACATAAAATAACTTATACATGAAAAATACAAATGGCCAGATATGTTTTTATCATAAGACAAATGCCCCCTTAAATTCAAGAATATCCATTCCAAAAAATGAAGTAATGAAAATTTCATGCAAAAAAATTGCTGGTAAAAAAAATATAAATCTCAGAGTTTGGGGGATAAAATTTGTTTTCCCTTAAGTTGGAAATTCCTAGTCCCTGTATAGGAAGTACCATTATGAAAAATTTAATATGAATACATGATGCACAAATTCATAAGGTATTGCTATTTTTAAAAAGTAATGCACTTCTACAAGACAATGTATACAAAAAATTATCTTAGCAAGTCACAGATTTAGTTCTGTTAAAATTAAGCTTTGTATCTTGGGTGTAGCTGTGATTCTAGTACAACTGAGAAATTACACTAAAATTTAATTATTCTCATGCAGCAAACCCAAGTACATATGGAATTTATGTGGTGCATGTGTGTGCACATGGACACTAGAGCATTGCTATCCTTCAGTTACCAAGTAATGGGTAAATTGAATCTTCTCTCAAACACTTCATCTAATGCTACAGATACATATGTATCTGTATACATATGTATATATGTATACGTGTGTGTGTGTGTGTGTGTGTGTGTGTGTGTTGGGGAAGAAAAATTTTTGAGAATAGTGGCTGATTCACATACAAGTAAGCAAGAATCCATAGCTGAATGTCATCAGTAAATTCACATTAACAATACTTAGGTTAAATAAATATACTGTGGCTAAGTATACAATAAGATATATTCTATATATATTTGATTTGTCCTTTAATAAACCCTCAAACACACAGACTTATTGGATTCTAGATCTTGATCTTTCCTTCTGTTTTATTCACTTCCTCTAAGTGTGGACATAACAAATACAACATCTTCTTATAATCCCCATGTCCCTAACTATAACTAACACTTCCGGATTTATTGGAAATGAAGAAGCCAACTCATATCTCAGTCAGAAGTAAAGAAATGATATTACAAACCAGCTCTGCAATTGTATCATAGTTATCTACCCTTTTGAGGTAGAAAAGACTCATATCATGTGGAAGGTTCCTTAACAGTTACCAGACAATTATCTTATTTGACCAAAACCTGAGCAAGTTTTCATGACAACATTTTTATCTCCCAGGAAGCAGGGACATCAGAGCATTCTCCCCAGGTGACTTCAGAGAAAAACGAACAGTGGGGTACCAGCCAGCCAGCTTTCTGGTCCAATAGGCTAGCTGTCCTCAAAAGAACACAAACTGCTTCCTACCTAGAAATTCTAAAAGTGCATCACTGCTATTCTAGCATTAAACATAAGTGATGGATTTCTATACACATTCTTAAGAAAATTTTGAACATTCTTAAATAAACAGGAACTAGAAGAAAAGGAATTTTCATATACAAAAAGAAAGGATGTTCAAAGGAATATATTCAACAATGTTTTATGAAAATAAATTACTGTAATTTAAGGCTATAGTTATAAATCTTTTCAGAATATAATATGCAGTATATTGAAAAGTGCCCAATTCTGTATATTTATGAGTTGAATATGTGCCGAAGAGTCAAAAGTAAGTAAGTAGAACAGTAACAAAATTAATATGAATATTGATTTCCTGACCTTTTTTTTTGGACCTTGCATAACAATTTCACATATTTGTGCAAGTCTAAATATTTCCATGAAGACTCTCATCACGTTTTCTGCAATAGTCTAACAGCAACACATTTTCAAATGGATGGCACTAATTACTGAATGTCCCTTCTGACAGTGGCCTAGTGAAAAATGGAAACATGTTTGTGGTAGGGATACAGTGCGCTCATGCTTTGATTCATTTGCTTGTTATTTTAAAAATCTTTTTGAAGGTTGATTATGCTCAGCTCAGTGTCAGGAAATACTTTCTACAGAAGTTCTTCTTGGGTCTCTACCTCTTGTTTTTGTTCACAATAAAGAATGTAGATGTGCAACACACATGTTAATGTATCTATTGATACAATATTCAGTGCAATTCACTGCGAATCCGTACACACTATGATTGATGTAGTCGGGCTGAAATCATCCACAAGCTGAAAATAAAAGCAGTCATTAAAAAGGGTTGTTTATTTCTCTGTTTTCCAGAGTGTCTGCTTCATATCCATCACCCTGTTAGGAAAGAATCCTGGCTAAGTAGAATTATTAGTATTATTCTTATGTATCTACCAGGCACAGGCATAGGTCTTCCCTAACACTAAAACTGAAATGACTATAAATATTTTTGAGACAAAATGAATCAGATTTAAAAAACTGTATCAGAAAAAATATGGTTAAAGATAGAATCAATAATACCAAGTTATTAATCACTCTTGTGAAGAAAGCATACCTGGAAAGGAGAAATTGTGTGCTTAAATGTTAGCCCTCATATGGACAAGGCAAGGCTTAAAAATATCTCTTATATTGTGGTTATCTACTGACATATTTGCTTGTCTGATTTGTTTTGGGATGTGCTTAACAGCCAAATGGTCAGATCAAGGTAAAGAAGAGATCAGCTGCAAAAGTTCAAAATCACAGCTTCCTCTCTTACCTTCCACTGAGGAGGAAGCCGATAACCACTGCCAACAAAATGACTCCCACTGTCACAGACACAGCAATTATAGGAATCTGGCTTTGATCGCTGGAGGCTGCAACTGCTGATAGAAGACACAGAAAACGGAGCCCGCGGTTAAAGAGATCATATGCATTCAAATAAGAGCTGCTTAATAGTCGGTAATCGATGCATGGTTTAAACAATTCACCCACACTTGGCCGAGATTTCCCCCTAATATCTCTGCTCAATGGTGTGTAATTGAAAAGACATCTTTAGGAGAAAATATTTACTCTCCAAATGGAAATTTGAAAGAATCACTAAGTCACTGATTATTTCCTTGTCATCATAAAAAATGAATGTAATTGTTTGCATAGTATTTATCTAGGGATCTTAGGTTTGCAAGATAAAATGAAACTTAGTCCTTAATACCAAACCCCTTACTCTAAACAGGAGGTGCTAAGTATCCGAGATTTGAGATTTTAGAGTTTGCATGTGGCTGTTTCTAGGAGAAAAATCTTGACACCTTAGACAGGGTTTTTTTCCCATAGACGTACGTTGAAGTCCAAAATATTGCGGTTATGGCTTCAGTGAAGTTAATATCATATTCTGAATATAATTTTAAAAATCGTAATTTCTAGCAGAATATCATCCGTGAGTATACTTTATATATAGGACTCCTTTTTGAAAAATATCAAGACATACACTTAAAACTTTGAGAAGTCTACAGTAAGATTAAATTCATTTACATCATCTTTTTTAAATACATGGATTTAGATGAAATATTATATATTTTAACTGTACAATTACCATAATAAAAGGAATACGGACATGTTAAGATAGTTGTACCTAAATAAGTATGGGGATATTTCTTTCATGCTGATATCTGCACTGTGTTATAATAAGAACGCTACAGAGCAAAATTAATTTTACTAATGTTCTCAAGAAACCCTCAATAAGATACCTACCATGCTATTGTTTAACAAAATCATCACTTTGATTAATTCAGAGTGGCATTAGTTACCCTTCTTAACAAATTTTAAGTCGTCAAGAGTAATAACAACTATAATTTCCCTGTTTTGCTTCCTAGAACCCTTTACCAGCTATTGGCCCCATCAATAGTTTTGGACATCCAATCATTTCCCTTTCTATTCTTGCCACCTCTCCCTTGATTCTTCAAAACCAAAATTGACTTACTCTCTGACCACTTCTTGCATTTGATCTACAATTTGATCTTTTAGACCAGTCTTCAGACCCAATATCACTAGTAGCTTGTTCATGTACAAGAAAGACTCTTATTGACAGTCTAAATCTATGTTCTTACCCTCCCTTTTCTTGGATAATAATAGTTGCAGTTCAATGGTTCTTTATCTTGATTTTCTCCTTTATTCTCTGATATTGAGATCTGTGGTAGGGAATTTAAAACTGCTGAGCAGTATAAATGCGTAGGGCAAAGCTACTCCACTATCACTAGTAACCTTCCCCAAGGTTTGCTTTATTAGTCTCTAAACTCAGATTACTTATAGCATTGCTTTTCTCGGTTCTTTAATTTTCTTTTTGGCAAGAGGCAATGTTTCTAGAAAAAATCATGCAGACATGGTCCACATACATTCAATGTTATTTTTATTAGGCTCTAACTGCTGTTCCAATATTTTTTATTCTCTCTTCTTAATTTCCTAACAAAATCATCATAATGAGTCTTCCTCATTTTCTCAAAACACTAATCTATTACGATTTCTCATGTTTCAATAATGTTAAACTGTATAGATTAAAGAGCAATCAAGTCTGAACTCTATGGTTAAATAAAACTGGATGGTTATGTAGTTTCCTTTGCTTCACCTAACTCCAATTTTAGAATCCTTCCTATCTCTTCCAAGACCTGGCTCCTTCAAAGGTCTCCCTCCAGGAGATCTTTTATCCAGGAGTCAATTATAGGCTACTTGTCTGCTACCTCCAAGCCTGAATAGATATTTGTTCTTAGTGGAAACAAATCCTTATACCTAAACTTACTGATGTTGGTTCAACTTAAATTTGAAAACAGGTCCAACATTTACTAGGGATATAGGCCAAAGCAAAGTACTTAACTTTATCAAGGCTCATTTCATTAATCTCCAAACAGGAATAATTTTCCTGGATCATTATAATTCTGTTTAGAGATAATATTTAGCACAGTGCTTCGACTATTGACAGCCTTAAATAATTAGTAGATATTATTTTTACATATTGTTATCTTCTGCTTTATAGAATTATTCTTTCCTATTTAACACCTTGATTGTTATCTAGAGCAGTATTGTTATTTTTATTTATTTATTATTTATTATCATCTGATAACCAACATTATTAAATTCCCTCTGCAACTTATCTTCTTCTGCCTTTGAGTTCTATGCATGGCATTCTTGCTAAACACAATGAGTACTCTTCCATTTACTTTACCATGCATCATAAGGTATTTGCCTTTGTTGAACATAAACTTCAACCTTGAGGCTCTGCTTCGTCTTGGTTTATAGAACATCAGATGAGGCGTTTTTCCCCTTTTCCCCTACACTGTAGCACTACTTTGTCAGTTCCGTTGGCTCCACATTCTCTCCCTACATCTTCTTCATGAACAATTCCTGATGAATGCTCCTGATCCTCCACACTTCTCTCCTTACTCTTTAATCTTTTTCTGTCTTTCTCCCTTCCTGCTTCCTTTTCTCTCTACCTCTTATGGGTACTTTTATGCTTATGACATCAGTTAACTCTAAGCTCATGAGTCCCAAATTTATATTTACAACTCTTACTTTACTTCACTTCAAAGCATGACCCTATTAAAAGAAAACAAAAACAAAAACTACTTTCCTTTTATTTGGATTCATTTTCATATACAAATAGCATTTTTATACCACATCCACCCCAAGGATATTAACAAAAACACATCAATAAATAAACACCATAAATTTTTCTTAACTCCTACTTGGCCATTAATTACCAAACATTTTTGTGTTTCTTCTGTTTTTTCCCCACAAACTATATTTCTTTTGTCCAACATTCACCTATTTGATTCAAATCTACTGGACTATTGTTCACTGGTTTTATAAATGTTCCCTTTGCCTTCTATGTGTTCACATAAACATCCAAAAATATCACTTTGATCATGTTTCTCTGATCAAAAATTTAATAAATGCCTACTACCTATAAAAAAAATTCCCAAATTCTCCATCTAGACTTCAAAAGCCCTTTTAAACAAATTTTAACAAATCTTTCTGGTCTCAATGGGCCATTTCGGGAACTCTGAGATATCATTTTGGAGAAAGGGGGCATGATTAATCAGAGGTAGGGATAAAAACAGGGCAAATTCTGGCTAACCAAACTATTAATTTTGAGAAAAAAAAATACTGGTGCTTAGTACTGTCAAATGCTTCATTTTTAACAATTGACAAGATCTAATCTAACAATATATTAAAATATGCACCTAGGTATGGGATATTATCTTGCAATAAAATATTTTTAATGGCATACTAAAAATTTCAAATGATTAATACATTTTATGAAAATATTTTGTTAATAATGCCAAATCACAAACATTCACATTTACATTTTTTCCTCTACCGTTCACTTAAATCAGATAGTTTTGTATATTAGATAATTAAATCAAGGGCCTATGAGGAAGAATTTCAATAATACATTTTCATTTTTTAAAAAATGTGCAGCTTTGGGGTGCCTGGGTGGCTCAGTCAGTTGAGCATCTGACTTCGGCCCAGGTCATGATCTCATGGTTCGTGGGTTTGAGCCCTGTGTCAGACTCTGTGCTGATGCCTCAGAGCCTGGAGCCTGCTTCGGATTCTGTGTCTCCCTCTCTCTCTCTGCCCCTCCCTAGCTCATGCTCGCTCTCTCTCTGTCAAAAATAAATAGACTTTAAGAAAAAATGTGCAGCTTTTCCTAAGTTCCTTGATGGGCTTTAATTATTTTATTATTTCAAATGTATTAATTATTTTGTGAGCTATTTCTAATAAAATATAATTCATCAAGATTTTATACTATTTTTTCATTGTTTGCCCTGACAGCATCAATTGTATCCCCAATATATCAACTAACTTGAAAATATATAGAATTGATAAGGTAATGTCAATGCCTTCATACATTTTCATTCTTTAGCACCAGAAGAAAAAAAATTATAAGCCCAGTATGATCCATGATTATTACTTTAATATATCATTAAGTTTTTTAATCTTTAAAGATAACAAATTTCTAGTCCCTCACATTTCCTATTTTTTTAATCTGTGGTGTATTTTTGGAAGAATAGTTAAGGAATGTTTTGGGAATGCTTAAAAGCAAATTTGAGGCAATGTAACACACTACTATTAAAAGAATATTAATTATAGACACTAATATTCTTTAGTAAATAATGTTTATTTTTCAATAACTATATACTTACATTATCCCGGGGAACTTTAAGCTAGTATATACTGAGAAGTCATGTTGCTTATCTCATTTTGTTTCTCATACTCCATATTGTGTAGATATTCTCCACATTTTAGCTATATATTTAGATAGTTAATCATGAATCTGAAAAGATTTGTTAAAGCCAGATTATGAGGGTTTTTGAAGGCCCGGCTGAAAATTTGGGGTCTTTCTCCCACACACAGCTGTAACTATCTATTCATTTTCTTGATTAAGATAATTTGATCAAAGCCATAATTTTTGATATGCAATATGAGCACATACGAATTAATGGGGAAATTTATAACAACCTGGGTGGGAAATACATACATGAAAAGATGGTGAACATCATTAGCCAACAGGGATTTCAAATTAAAACCATAATGAAATATCACTAGCCACCTGTCCAAAATGCCTAAAAGAAAAATATAGTGATAACAGCAAATGCTGATGAGGATGTGGAGAAACTGATCACTCATACACGGCTGCATTGCTGGTAGGACTGTAAAATAGTACAGCCACCCTGGAAACTCTTTTGGCAGTTTCCCACAAAATTCAAAATTAAACATAAAATTGCCATATGATATAGCAATTGTACTCTTGGGTATTTATCCCATGTAAATGAAAACTTAGGTGATGTAAAAACATGTCAATTAATATTCACAGCACCTTACTCATACTAGCAAAGATTGGTACCAGCCTAGATGTCCTTCAATAGGTGAATTGTTAAACAAATTGTGGCCCACACATACCATAGAATACTACTCAACAACAAAAAAAGAAGCAAGCAACTTGCAGGAATCTCTAGGAAATTATACTGAGTGAAAAAAGTCAATTCTAAACTAAAAGGTTGCATACTGTATGATTCCATTTATGGAACATTTCTGAAATGTCAGAATTTTAGAAATGAATGTTTAGAAATTAGTGGTTGTCAGTGATTAGTTATGGGACAGGAGCTGCTCCCAAAGGCCGTTGGTATAGTTATAATAGGGCAACCCGAAGGAACTTTATGGTGTTGGCACTGTGAAGTATCTTGACCATGATGGTAGATATAAAGACCTACACAACTGACCAAATTGTAGCGAACTTAATGCACACACACACACACACACACACACACGCCTACATCATACACACATAAAAAAGGGTACAAGGAAAGTTGAGTAAGATTGGTGGATTGCATCAATGTCAATATCCTGATTGTGATCTTATGCTATAGTTATGCAAAATGTTACCATTGGGAGAAACTGAAAAAATTGTACAAGAGTTCACTCTGTATCATTCCCTACAACTTCATGTGAAACTACATTTATCTTAATAAAAATATAATTTAAAACACAGAATAACTTTATTTCAGCAATTTGGTTATACAGATTTGAATCAAGTAGGTAAGAAATGGATAAAAGGAAGTAATGAATTGGAGAAAAAATCATAAAAGAAGCATGAAAGTGTTGGTAAATCTTGGTGAGTGGGAGTTAAGAAAGGTTCAGTGATAGTCTCAAAGTTTCAAGAGAATTTATGTTAAAAGAAACAAGAAAAAAGAGCTAACTTGATTGGCTGGATAGTTTCATTCATGCTAGGTTTATTTGCTGGTGTGTTTTAACATTGCTGTTGGGGAAAGGAATGATATACGGGGCCAATTTTAAATATTTATTTGTATGCATAACAAAAATAAAATAGAATGGATACTATGCAGTTATAAGATAGAAACTAAAGCTTGAGAAAGAATAGTTTAAAATTTTCCACCCAAATCCTCATTTGAAATAGTCTTTCTAAAATAAAGATTTTTGCATTCCTGTGTTTATGTTTGCATTTGGTTTTAGGACTATATTAATGACATATGTGATAACATACATGAAAAAGAAAAGCCCATCATAAAAATTTTATGACCTATGTATAATATAAATTAAATATTATAAATTTTAAAAACTAATCAATGAATAACATCATGCATCATTATTATGAATTAAGTATCCAATTAGAAAAGTCTTTTTACAATAAAAAAGAATGGAATCATGCCATTTGCAGCAACATGGATGGAACTGGATGTATTATGCTGAGTGAAATAAGTCAGTCAGAGGACAGATATGTTTTCATTCATATGTGGATCTTGAGAAACTTAACAGAAGACCATGGGGGAAGGGAAGGAGAAAAAATAGTTACAAACAGAGAGGGAGGGAGGCAAACCACAAGAGACTCTTAAATACAGAGAACAAACTGAGGGTGGATGCGGGGTGGGGGAGAGGGGAAAATGGGTGATGGGCATTGAGAAGGGCACTTGTTGGGATGAGCACTGGGTGTTGTACGTAAGCCAATTTGACAATAAATTATATTAATAAAAAAAGGAAAAGTCTCTTTAAAGTGTATGTTCAAGATAATGATTTTCAGATAATTTTGTCTTAACATACCTGAATGATAAGATAGTATTCACTTAGTAATGGTGACTCACTAAAGCCAATATTCTTAATTGTGACCCACCAAATGAAAATACATACACCCACATATTTGACATTTCACACTACTCCTAGTGTTATTTTCTTCATAACAAAACTTTTGTGTCTTCTTCTAATCCTACTTTTAATGCGTGCTCTAGGACAAGTAATCAATTGTTTGACATTAAAGAGAAAAATGTTTTATGCTATTTTATTTGAAAAAAAAAAATGGTGCAAGAAGTGTTTTCCAGAAACATTTCTAGATCCTTCACTCAGAGATGCTGCCAGAAATGTTGATTTTTTAAAACAATCAGATTGGTTGCTGAGAGCACTATTTTCTTGCCAAACTTAATACTAACAAATGCTCCCTGTAGAATTTTCATAGAAAAACTAAGCCTGGTAGCATTGTTCAATAAAACAAGTAAAAATAAATGGCAATAATTCAATAAAGTATGGCAGCCGTGGAAGGAAAGTCTTTAAAAGCAAGGTTTAAACATTTCTTAAGGATCTCCTGATGTTTCATCTCCCAGTAGACTAAATGTGATGAGGAGCAGGGACCGATGTGTTAACCCACCAACCTACCATAATAGCATGACAGATGCTTCCTACCTGAAGGGGTCATGCCTGGGAGAGAGAGGACCAGGAGACTGACAGAATGCCCGGAGAGAGTATTGATCCACTGACTCTTTTCTGGTAACCATTACAGAGACATGAGTTGACAGTAATTAAAATGACTTACACACTGGGATGGTTTCAAACTCAAATCTTCGACTGAAGACACCATAGCCTGCTGCTGTGCGTGCTCGAATCTGGAAGACGTATACTGAAGCTGGCTTCAAGCCCTCTGCAGTTACAGTTGTCTCTTTAGATTTGATAATTGTATAGCTGGTTTCTTGGTCCTTGGATTACACATGTACATACAATAAAAAAGTCAACATGTGAATTACTAATGACAACAAAACTTAGAATCATAAATCAGAAAATAAATCAGAAACTAATAGACTTGCTATTAGTACACATACAATCTTTTAGAAAAAAAAAAAACTATACATCCTAGGTGTGCTATCTATATGATATCTAAAAGTGTTTTCTAGAACTCAAAATTGGTGGGTAACATGTTCTCCACTCATCCACCATACTTGTCTTTGGCAGAAATAAATTTGTAAACCTTTAAATATGATTTTCAGGAGATAAAATTTTTTTAACATGTATTTTTTTTGAGAGAGAGAGCGTGAAGAGGAGGGGGAGAGAGAGAATCCCAAGCAAGGTCCACGCTGTTATCATGAACCCCGATGTGGGGCTCAAACTCACGAATCATGAGATCATGACCTGAGCCAAAACCAAGAGTCAGTCACTTAACCCACTGAGCCACCCAGGCACCCCTGCAGGAGATAAATTATTTTACAGACTCTATTTTAGTACTGGTATTCATATGCTTATGTTTCTTATAAATATTTTATTGGAGCACATCTAACATGTTGCCTGTTCATGGAGTAAGGTGACAATGTTTCATATATCACCAGGTAAGTCTTATGCTTTATATCTTTGGTGAGTTTCATTTCTAATTATATTTAGGGCTCGGGAGAAGGAATGAGTACTTGACTGGAGAAATTTAATTTCAATTCATTAAGTCCAAATGGATTACTAAAGAAAAACTGCAAATAAACTTTTTTTAAAAATTTTTAAACACTTTCTATTTTTTCACGTTTATGTGTTTGAGTTGGATGAGTAGTGAATGGAGATGCAGTGAAAACAAAATCACTGTAAAGATAATTTTAGAAACGAAAACAAATAGGAAACTGTTCCTATTTTGACTGCTACCAAAGTCTAGACTAACTGTCTGTAATTTATCTCTGAGATTACCACACTGAATAGAAAATCTTAGACCTACAAAGATCTAAACACACAAAGTCCCTGTTTTGAACTTTCTTCTCCCTTGTATTTTTTCTGTGTGAATTCTTGGCTAACGTTGTTTTTGGCTGATGGTGTTTCTACACTTAATACATTTCTGACGGATATTAAAGAATGAATTCATGGAGATAATGGTCAGAGATTTTTTTCCCTCTGTTTGTGGGAACTGTCTCTATTTACAGTATCTTGATTGATGACTATGAACCATTTTCAAGATATTTCAGAGAATTTTATTTTATAATTAAAAACATGCATTGATTATTTTTTAAAATATAATGGGAATAAGATGTAAAGGATTTTTTTCTGAAATGAGAAAAGAATTGAAAACAAGAATGTAACAATTCTTTCTTAAGCCCTCTAATAGGGAATATGGTTATTAGTTAATCTTAATAACACTATTAAAATGCAAAATAAATGCAAACCATGCTTTCATGTTGCATGTAACTTCAACTTTCCTTGAAATTTACAATCGATAGCAGCATGTCATGTTGTGACTTTAGTGTGGACACTGAAATCACGTGCTAAAATAACACAAGTCCATGTTTACTTTTATCTTCAGTTTCCTTATCTGTAAGATTGGGGTAGAAACTGATGCCTGGATATTCTCATAGAGATACTGTAAGAATAAGTAAGTAATGCACATGAAAACATGTAATAAGCTATAAAGTTATGTTTTCATTGCCATTATTATTTGAGATTTTTTCTAATTGGACACATCAAAGTCCACTGGCAGTCATGATCTACAGAACATGTACCACCAGTAAAATCTAAAATATACAACCTATTAGCATTTATTTGTTTTAAAGAAGGTTTACCATTCCTCATTTAATATAGTCAAACATATAGAATTATCTTAGGGTTAAATGTATCCCAATTTCCACCTAAATAGAAATGTTCTAATTTTTTTTTTTAATGTTTATTTTTGAGAGAGGGAGACAGAGTGGGAGTGGGGGAGGGGCAGGGACAAAGGGAGACACAGAATCTGAAACAAGCTCCAGACACTGAGCTGTCAGCACAGAACCTGATGTAGGGCTTGAACCCACGAACCCTGTGATCATGACCTGAGCCCAAGTTGGATGCTTAACTGACTGAGCCACCCAGGGGCCTGGGATATTCTAATTTCTAATGCAAATAGGCTTTCTGATTCATTCTATGTGAACAATTATTTTTTTTTAAATTTTTTCAATTCACAGATTAAATTTAATTGCTGAATCTTTATGGTATAGGAAATATTATTAGAGTCTTACAAAGAATTTAAACTAGGGTCATTAAAGCCTATAAAATTTTACCTAGTAATGTCAGTCATTTTCTTTATTCCCATTCACTGACTTTCTCCTATATACTCTATTATCCTTTCTCTACACTAGGAAAAAAACAATAAAAAAGCACACAATTTCTTGATGTGTTCCTTTTAAAAGAGGTAAACTATTACTAGAAACTACTCATGTACTTACTCATGCTCTCTGGCTGCTCAAGCTTGTGACTGAATATGCAAGAAGATTATATTCAATAAGATTAGTGAGAATTTCAGTGAGAAATGTTAACTTGCATTTTGTTTAAAGATAAGCTGGTGTAGGGGCGCCTGGGTGGCGCAGTCGGTTAAGCGTCCGACTTCAGCCAGGTCACAATCTCGCGGTCCGTGAGTTCGAGCCCCGCGTCAGGCTCTGGGCTGATGGCTCAGAGCCTGGAGCCTGTTTCCGATTCTGTGTCTCCCTCTCTCTCTGCCCCTCCCCCGTTCATGCTCTGTCTCTCTCTGTCCCAAAAATAAATAAATAAAAAAAACAAAACAAAACAAAAAAGTTGAAAAAAAAAAGATAAGCTGGTGTAAAAATCTAGACAAAACCAAAGTTTCTGATATATTTGTTATAATTATGATTTTCACATAAAATATTGACATTTATTGGGGTGCATGGGTGGCTCAGTCAGTTAAGTTTCCAACTCTTGATTTTA